ATTTTAGCACATAATTTACATTTTACTGTTTTTAAAATATATATTTTTTGTTTTTTCTTTTTACTTGTACATGCTGTGTCTCTTAAATGATTATATTAATAATCCTTTTTATAATTCTTCACACCAAGTCTTCATATTTCYATGTTCTGCCTCAGATTATCTTAAAGTTTAATTTAAAACAAAGACAAGGAGGAAAACACTGACCTGAGTCTTTGTTTTAAACTAAACTTTAATCTGAAATGAGGCAGCAGCAGTGGATTGGTTACTTCCTGTCTGTTGACCAATAGGAGAGCAGCTGACCCAAGAAGCTCCGCCCACTTTGTTTACATAATGAGGCAGAAATGCATCAAGTAAAAACAAGACATGGAAATAAAGACTTGTTGGAAAAATTATAAAATTATTATAAATATAATCATTTAAGAGACACAGACGCATGAGGACATGAGGACATGATGACATGAAGACATGAGGACATGAGGACATGAGGACATGAGGACATGAAGACATGAGGACATGAGGACATGAAGACATGAGGACATGAGGACATGAGGACATGAAGACATGAGGACATGAAGACATGAGGACATGAGGACATGACGACATGAAGACATGAGGACAGTTTGAGTCTCCTGTGGGGTCAGGTCCAGAGACGAGGACAGTTTGAATCTGAACTCCATGTCTCTGACTCGATGCCAGGCAGGAGGTCCTGCAGGTTCTGCTCAGTCCTTCCTGTCCCTCCTGAACCCAGAGACTAGTCCCTGTTGACAGGACTCATCACATCATTCCTGCRGAGTCATCATCGGTCCGGTCTGATGGGTTCTGGCTCTGCAGGACCCCTGAGGGGCTGTTCTGGGTTCAGATCTGTGTCTGCAGAAGCCAACAGAAATCACTGTCACGTTCATGAAACTGTTTGTGACGAGAAGCTTTATTCCTCCTCAAGGAACTCCTTTTAGGTCCACTTGGACCTGAAATGAACCCAAAAACCAGACCCAGGTTGTGGTGTACTGTTTGTTCTGAGAGGGGGGAYGGAGAAAGAACTGGTCCCTGGAAAACCTGGAGGATTAGACTTGTAGCTGAGCTCTGTTCTTCCAGCAGTCTGAATATTAATCTGACCTTTTCTTTTTTMTTTTTTCTGCTTGAAAACAAAGCGAAGCGACAGAGAAAAGTCTGTTTTGATGAATTATGGATGAGCTTCTCCAGTGGAACTCTGCCTCTGCCACATCCAGAGCAGCTGAATAAATGGATCCAGCTTAATGTCCTGTTCGCTCTAATAAAACCAGCAGCACAGCTGGAAAACTAACTGATTCATATTTGTGTTTTACTGTCAGGAAGAATATCTGTTTTCATGAAGCCCACCTGCTCTCTGCAGCTCAGCTCCATCAGAGGTCTGAAGAGCCACGGATTTATTTTTATCTGTCATTACGCAACAACAGAGGAGAGACCCTCTGCATCTGGAGACCTCCGTTTATCCCTCATTATGTAAGACCTGTTATCAGTGCCCTGTACAGACGTGCACAGAGACGTGCGCAGAGACGTGCACACCGTGCTGCACTCTCAGCCATCTGTGCACAGGTCCTCAGGTCATGAACTGTCAGATTAAAAGTTAAACTGTTCAGATGAAGTTTGGTCCAAAACGGACTTTGATTTATTTAAAACCTGAAGAGGTTTGAATCTTCAGTCAGGTTAAATATTTGTAAATGTTAAATCCTAAATCTAAATGTCAAAGTTAATGTAAACGTTGCAGCTAAATGATGAAATGTATGTGTAAGTATGTGTAACTCTAATAATGCTAACTCTAATAATGCTAACTCTAATAATGTTAACTCTAATAATGCTAACTCTAATAATGCTAACTCTAAAGGTGAAATTTAAAGTCTAAATTCAAAATGTGTTCATTAAAAACAGTACGATGGTGCCTGAGTGGACGGTTGAAGTGCAGCTCAAACATGGCTGCAGCTGATGTCTTGTAGGAAGTTTTAGCTGTGTTAGCAGAGTTAGCTGTAGCTTTCATTGCAGGATGATGATGTCACAACAAAAGCTACACATCAACAACAGCAAAGGCTGTTTCTTCCTGATGTAAACTTCAACATTTAAATTAAACTTTTAGTTCAAATTAGGAAAATGTAAGAAAAAAAAGCTAAATAATGAAATGTTAGTGGAACTTGTTTTAACACTCAAAACATGAGCTAAATAATGAAAGTGTGTCAGTGACACAGAACTGGACTTCAGGTACCAGAAAGAAGACGAGCCAGTTCTCCAGAACGTTCTGAGTCCTGCAGTGAAGAGATGTTTTGTTTGCAGATGATCATTAATCTGAAAACAGTGAAGAAACAAAGGCCTAACTGTCAGGTTCTGAACGGTTCTGGAAGGTTCTGTTCTGACTCCAGCTTTACAAATGATTGATTGATGATGATGGTGTCAGACGAGTTCTCCAACATCAGAAATGCATTTCATMTTTCCTGAGGAGAAAGTCTTCTCGTGTTCTGCTGGAAACAAAGAACAAACAAAGTGGGCCCGGCCCGGCCCGGCTCTCAGCTGGACCTGAAACGTGTCCGCCTTGTTAAACACACGACCCGAGTCATGAGCTGGAACAAGCACCGAGCCCAAACCTCAGCTCTGCTGGAACATGAGGTCAGCCGCCGCAGGGCGTCTGAGCGCTACCTCCGACATGCCGCTGAGCTTCAGAGCTGCATAATGCATCAGAGCAGAACGGCCCGGTTCTGATGGGAGCTGACCCACAACCCACACAGCAGCCACACCAACACATCTGTCATCAGAACCTCTGCAGAGAGCCAGCTGCAGGAGGAAACAGGAAGTCCTGATGTCAGCATGTTTCTTTATTCTGTCTGTGTGCTTTAAACTGATGGCTGGGGGGCCATCTGTGGGTCACAGGTCATCCTCTGTCTTTGACCCTCTGGATGTTTCACAGCTCGGCTTCTTCTTTTAGCTCATTAGTGCAGACGTGGCCTTTCGGCTCATTCTACAGCTGCAGCTCAYGTTCATTAGCCGAAGACTCCCAACAAAAACAGTCCAAAACCTTCAGCTGACCGCGGGCCGCTTTTACATCCTGGTTCAGAGAGGAGCCAGGGTCCACTGCTGCCTTCAGACAAATGTTCACTTAGTCCCTCCTCCTCCTCCCCCACTCCTCCCCCTCCTACTC